CTCTGACACCCTAGAAACAATGTTAGAAGACACTAGGACATCCTAGCGCTAAGATCGTTTCGAGAATCTCGTTCTCACTTTGTTTTCAGCGAAAAAACTAACAATATTTTTTGTTGTATTGTTTTCAAAAATCATGGAAACAAAAATATTACTAGTTACTTTCTTATCATAATTTTGGAAATATCAAAAAGATTGAGTTCCATTTGCGTCTAAGAAAACAATTTACAAACTTACCTTTCGTATTTGATAAGAGTTACTGTTAATTTGAGACATCTTATTTTAGGTTTTTTATGAGATATAAATTTAATCTTTTTCTGATGAACTATAGAAGTGAACTGATGAAATTTAGGACAGTTGTATTTTATATGGTATCTTAGTTTCTCATCAGACGTGCTAGACAGACATGATTCCTTATTCACAAAATCACATCAGTTTAATTTTTACACGTTCTACCACTTGATAATATTTAATATTTGTCACAAACTGGAGAGTTTAATTAATGACATGTCACAGGGTTGTTAAACCGAGGTTAGTTTCCTCAAACCGGATTAGGTGTGATAATCTAATTATAGCCACACTTTTAATTAATGATAATTAATTTGATTTATTATTGTTTCAATTAAATTATTTTCTCAGTTGACGACTCTACCAGACAACTGTCTATAATTTCTTGTTTAATTTTACTCTTGACGTGTATCAATGATAGAACATCACACCTTCTAGAGTAAGAACATGATTGTAATTAGGTTAATACGTTATTTTAACTAGGTAAATAATATTGGTACTGGTATAAGATAGTTGGTCGTTACAGTTTAACAGAACGAGGTTTCTTTGTTTCATAAGGCGTTTTTATTGAAGCAAATCGTCACAAACTGGAGAGTTTAATTAATGACATGTCACAGGGTTGTTAAACCGAGGTTAGTTTCCTCAAACCGGATTAGGTGTGATAATCTAATTATAGTCACACTTTTAATTAATGATAATTAATTGGATTTATTATTGTTTCAATTAAATTATTTTCTCAGTTGACGACTCTACCAGACGACTGTCTATAATTTCTTGTTTAATTTTACTCTTGACGTGTATCAATGATAGAACATCACACCTTCTAGAGTGAGAACATGATTGTAATTAAGTTAATACGTTATTTTAACTGGGTAAATAATATTCGTACTGGTATAAGATAGCTGGTCGTTACAGTTTAACAGAACGAGGTTTCTTTGTTTCATAAGGCGTTTTTATTGAAGCAAATGGCATCAACTCGCTTTGATTGCCGATTATCAGCACGTGGTGCAAATTCAACAACCTTAAATCGGTTGCATGTTTACTTGTTTACTTCCGAATGATCCCAATACACTGATTATTGAACAGTTAAATCAGTCTATGGAATACAAGTTTCTTCATATTTTTACCCTTGTTGTTATAAACTTTCAACGTCCCGATTCTCTGCAATCAGATCCACATTTTCAATAATTAATAACTTGATTATACAGGGACTGTGTCGTATAGTTATGACGCCAAGTTTCGTTTGTGAATGATGACGCTGTTTTGGCCATTAAAGTAAACCTTATAGTTTTCTCTTAAGAAAGACACAAGTTTCCGATCTCTATCACTGACAGACTGCTTTCAAACCATAAGCATCCATGTACCTAGGTGGTCATTATGGCGATACAAAGATACTTTACTATCAGAGTACAGAGTACGAAGTTTATCCTCAGCAGTGGTTACTGGTAATGGTTTCAATTTGAGTATGTATACGTTATATGATACCAAGAGAAGATGTACCAGCATAGTGTTAAGCATAATGTGTCAAAGCAACTTTTATTTAAATCTATACAGTAATTAATATCAGATACAATTGTTTCCATCAACTTATGTATGTCCTATCGAAATCTGGAAATTTGTCATTTCCTTTCAATAATCAAATTTAAGTATCACAAACTTTTGGACCTTATGGCAATTTGGTCTACTCTTGTCAAAAGCATCGTACTCTAGGCGAGGGACATTGCGATAATAACATTTTATACCTAGTTAGCCACAGGTTAGAAAACGTCATGAAGTCCATTTTTCTGTATATGTTGCCGTTTCTGAGAAAAGTGGCCTGTCGGGGACGAAATAAAACCCAAAAAGCAGGTCGCTCTTTTACGAACTAACTAAAAATTTAACGAAAACAATACACTTTCAATATTATGTTCCAAAAAAACTTTTATTTAAATCTATACAGAAATTAATATCAGATACAATTGATTCTATGAACTTATATAGTTTAACTAAAAAATCTGTTTTTCAACATCATCAGTACAGCCATTGAAACAATGATAGTAATATTGGATTGTGAAACCAATGCTGCTCCATCTTCTGCACTTTCAGCACTTTCAGCACTTTCAGGCATACCACAAGATACCACACTGATCATAGCCATTAAAGCAATCAAAACTTGGGAGAGATGATCCATCTGTAATAAAATAAAAACATGGTCTTCAAAATATGGTATCTTACCAGGATATGGTCTCTTCAGTTATATCATGTATATTTTATAATATGTATAGAGGTTAGGATAATCCGGGAAAGATCAATGCTGGGAGGTTTGGCCAAGGATCAGCTCAGCAAACGTTGAAATATTACCTTTAGATTTGTTTTGTCAAATATAAAACAGTTAAAATAGAATTAACTCAGGTTCGGTTATAGTAGTGAAGTATATAAAATGAGGCAACCAATTGAAGTAATACTAACTTGTTTCAACTATAGAAGTTTATATACCTGATTATTGTTTTATCATTAATCTGTATTATTAACCTGAGATTTGTTAAATGACCAGTGTCTCGATCATTATCTAATTCTGTATCACTTTGACCAGGGCATGACTGTGGACCTGGATTTTATTGCTTTCGGATTTTTGTGCCTAGCGTGATGTATCGAAAATATACCAAATGTAAATACCAATTTTTTTTATGATAATTAGGAAATTTGCATTTCAGTTTGTTCTAATATAAACATTATGTTACGTAATAAGTGATGGTTGTGGCGTACATGGAAAAAGCTTCCATTAGAGTCGTTGGGACACAGTGTGAAGTCAAAAAACTGACTTCACGACGTTTTCTAACCTGTAGCTAACTACGTACAAAATGTTATTATACACAATGTCCCTCGCCTGGAGTACGATGCATTTGACAAGGGATTATTCAAAGGAAATGACAAATTTCCAGATTTCTATAGGATATACTCCGAGGGCGCGAGCTGGTTTTGAACTGCATTGTTCTGTTAAATCCAAACTGGAGAAATATTTCTATCATGTCTTAATCAAAATTCCTTGTTAAAGAAAACTACTACTACCACTATTCCTAAATATTACAACTTTGATTTTGTTAATATTGACAGTAAGATTCCATTTAGATGTATATGATTGTAAGGAGTCTAATAATTCTTGAAGTCCTGTAATGATTTCTGAAAATAACACTTTATCATCTACATACATTAATAGATATAAATTAAGAGTGTCTGAAGCCAATGAAGGGCAGCCATTTTGAATAAACTCACCTTGAAATAATCCATTCTTACAATCAACAAATACTGAAATACATTTGACTTAACACAACATTTGACTTTACATACAAAGATCTATTGAAAGATGATAGCTGTTATTCATTCTTATAATCACAATTCATTTGGCTCGAACACTTCCTGTCCTATTTTCATGCCCCATTCTCTGTTTAGATGATCCCTGAGGTTGGCCGGTATGTACTGGGCGGCCAAAGCAATCACAAAATGAACGCGGGGAGACGGGATAGACAAACGTGACAGACTGTAGTTGCCGGACCAGAATTTCCACCAATCAAAGCCACGGTGCGGAGAACGTAACAGTCCGTATTAAAAACGCTACAGATCGTGACAATATGTAATAGGTCATTACAAAACTTGGAAGTGGTCCGTAGTGGGGCGGAAATCGTGTCTATTCCCCAGCTTCTGCAGTTTTATCACGTTGTTTTCCGTTTTGTCACGGTTCTCACGGAAAACTAGGGTGAACGAACGCCGCTCCGTTACGTTTCAATAAAGGCGCGTGCCGATGTGTGACGCTTTGCAGGCCAAAGCATTACGGTATGTTGAGTTCTGCAACGGTGTGACACGGTGCATGTATTGTCACGTCTTGTAGCGTTTACTTTTACGTTTCTCATCCGCACTGTGACTGTCGTGGCAAATTTTTTTGCAGTTTAAAATTCTGGCCAGCATCCACGGCAATTACGGTCTGTCACGTTTGCCTATCCCCTCCCCACGATGGCATAAACAGTGATTACCCTGACCACCGGGAACATAGTGTGAACCTAGTATAAGATACTGGGTAGAGTTGAAACCAACAATTCTGTTATTGTCAAGTTTATGCCGAATTGCATGTTTTAAAGTATGATATAGCAAAGAAATCGGAAGATACCAAAAAAACTAAATTCAGTTTGTTATTCAAATCTGAATTTCTGGTGAATTTTGCTGAAATTATTGCGTTATTGTGTTGAGAAAGGATTCTGAGAAAGTGATGACACATTTATCAGAGGGGTAAAATTCGAGATAGGAACAGGTTGATTAAATTTGCAGATTCGTCTGAAGGCGGGTGGGAGACAGTCAGGTAGTATTCTATAAATGAGTAAGCAGACGATTCGGAGTATGATAAGCGTATGAGTAGAGTGGAAAACTGCTAATACTCATATTTGACAGAGGTTCTGGTCCTGAAAGTATCCGATCTTTTTTTTGGTCGATCGGTAAGCATTAACGAGCACTGCCCTATATATTCGGGGGAAGATCTGGAGCGATGGACTCATTCCTCTGAGAGAAGGGTACAGAAAAGTGATCGATTGCTGTTTTTACAGTCGTCTCGATCTGGACCAGAATGTCCCCGATTAATAAAATTTTTTGATCGGGTCGATCGTCGTCCTGAAACGACTCTAATCGTCCCGAATCAACTTTGATAGTAATGAATGGCCTCAAATCGTCCCTTTTTCCCCCGATTGAATACCGACCAATGAATCGTGGCGTGGGTAGGGATAATTACTGACGTCCCTCACTTGCGGTGAGAAGAGGGTCTCTACCTGTGCCTTTGTCGTGTACCTACGCAAAATCTATCGCCCGAAGAGCGTCTGATTCGTCCCTCCGCAATAATCCTGTGGTCGGGACTCAATCTAGTCAAACAAAGGGGACGATTTGAGGCGATTCAAGACGACAATCGGGTCGATCAATAAAATAAATCATCTGGGACAATTTGGTACAGATCGGGCCGACTGGGAAAA